GACACAAAACTAATTAAAGAAAATTTAAATTATTTTTTTTTTTTTTTGTTCATCACAGCTAAAAATACCAGATATTACGATAGTAATTAATGAAAAAATTTAAAAATTTGAAGTTACATATTAATTATTACTAAATTAAGTCTATATTAAAAAATGATTTTTTTTTTTTTAAAAAAAAATTATATTTATGGCCAAAGTTATGCAGAGCTATGCACTAACACGTGATCAAACGGCCAGCGTTATGCTGGGAACGGTCCGTAAGCGTAAAAATTACCATACATGTCGGTAAGATATCTAAACGTTAGGTGAAATCATTATCGGTGAAGCAATTAAGAATAATTAAGAAGGTTTTATTTAATTTTGTTATTACAGTAAAGATAAATGTAAATGATGGCATATCATGTTTAATGTAAAAAAGCTTATTAAAAAATAAATTTGCAATAAATAAAAGTAACTATTTAATTTCATTTTTCAGTCAGATAGAATCATATTGTCATTGTAAATAAAGCAAAAAAGGTTGATTATATAAGATATATCTACAAGTAAATCATGTATCTATAATTTAAACTATGCAATAAGATGAAAATTTTGAAATAAGGAAATTAATTGGGAATATCTCATAAAATTAAAAATAAAGAAAGATAGACAAATATTTGCTATTATAGAAATCTATAAAAAGAAATGGAATTCTTTCAATTTTGATCATAAATTTTAACATTCAATATATCTTATAAAGGTACTATCCTAAATACTTACCATTTTTAATGATGCTTCATTTCCAACAAAGGACACTTCATTCAAGAGGGTAACTAGACTTGAAAGTAAGTAATTGACTTTTTGCAATTTCACACAATTAATTCTGTAAAATAACCCAATTAAATACAAAAAGTACCCTGGTATAGAAAAATGCTGACGTTTAGATTTTTATACCAGAAATTAAACAACTGTATATCATTCGTTAAAATAACAAAAAAGAAATTCACTATATTTATCGTAATGAAAATATTAAAACAGAAGTGACAACTACAAGATAAAATTAAATGAAATAAATTACTAAGTATCAAGGAAAAAAGTAATGTAGTTTTAAAGGGTTTGCTAATATTTAATAACAGTGACAGTATATTAAAGAATTCTTGTCAGATTCTTCTATCTTGTTAAATTCTCTATACTCTTGATCTTCTAGTAACCTTAAGAAATTATATCAGAAACACTCATGCCATTAGCTTAAATTCTTCTTGACCAAAAAATTAACTTTTAAATAACAATATCCATTAGAACCAATTGTAGGGTATCAATTATAAAGTAAACCAGTATAAGCCATAACCATATAAACCAAAGTTAGTGTGGCTTTTTTCTCTTGATACGAAAGTATAGTTCGCCAGTGGTAAATTCAGCAATATCTAAAAATTAATATATAATGCAACGTTGAATAACATACTATTATACTAATATCAAAAGCTTCTGAAAAAAGAATAAACATATTTTTTAAAATCTTCAAAGAAAAAAATTATAAATTATATCTCCTTCTATAGTTTTATATCCTTTCTAGTATTTGCCGCCATAATTTTACAATTTTTTTTAACATAGTACGTAGTAACAAAGAGTATATAATTAAAAAGATTCCAAATGTAGTAGCAGTAATTAATCAGTTAGGACATCTCAATTATAGGTTAACATGTTAACACTATTTTAAACATAATTCTGGTCAGATTTTAATAATACGGACCAGAGATATGCATGCGGTCACGCGTTCTCAAACTTTAAGTTTCGACATTCTAATCATAATATTAAATCGAAACAATTTTGCGGCTAAAAAATATTTCTAAAATATAAATTTTTGATTAAGACTCTTGGCTAACCAATTGTTAACCAGTCCAGTTTGGCTGTTTTTTACGGTTCCGACCTCTAAACAGAATGATTATGTAACAAATAATTAAATAAACTATTTAGTGATACAATCAATGATGATTGGATAACACTATTATCGTCATTTAATAGATAGTATGTTAGAACTTATAGCGCGCGGTTGAATATTCTTTTTAATTTAGTACTAAAATTAATAATATATTTGAGAATACTGTATTTACATAGTTTAATTAATGATTGTTCAAGAGGCTTCGGGTCTTTATCATTATAAAACTAATAGCAACTTTTCATAATTTTACTGAATAATATATAATTTTGAATCTTTATAAGATTGGACAACAAAAAATGAAGATTTTCTTGCGTTTTCTCCGCCAATACTATCACGTGTGTAAATACACAGTATTGAGGTCTGGAACTTCCTAATATTACAGATTTTTAAAAAAATTTCTATTGGAACGAATGGTAAAGCAACTTGACTAACTTTAAAATCAACAATGTTGAAGTTATTTTATTAAAATTTTTAATTTATGGTGTAACAACAATAAGAAGTAATTCATACCAAAGATAGTTTAATTGTACGTTAAAGAAGCCTTAAACCTGGACTCAAAATTTGATGCATAAAACTCATCTTTTTTTTTGTAATTTTTATATGGTTTTAAATCTTAAATTGGGTACTATTTTAGGGTTATTAACTTCTAATGTATTACTAACTCTTGGAATTACATTATGAAGCGCCATACTGGTCAGATGTGATGTAATTTTTGGTAAAATATGGATCAGATCCAAGATAAAATATGGGAAGATCCGGGATGAAATATGGATTAATCCATTTTCACCCTAGATAAATCCGGCGCTTCATATTACATCATTATATAACCATTGGTTCCCTCCATTATTACAAGTTTCATATTCATCTTTTACATGGTCGTCATGTGATGATCATTGAGTTATTCTGTTATACAAATGGTACTAAATTATGGCACTAACACTGTATAATTTTTAGGGTTTAATAACTAATAATAATAGTATAAAAGAAACAATTTTTATATAAACTGTATGTATGGAGAGAATTTTGAAATTTGGAATTGTTTTAGAGTAATTTGAAAATAAAACCTTTTTTAAAATTTATAAAATTCGTAAATTTCAGATATATTTATACGATGAAATCGATCTCATTAACAATATTTCATCTTATGACTTAATTTGGCTTATTTGTAATAACATTTTGTCAAAAAAAAAAAAATTTCACTAAAGTGATTTCAATATAATAAAATTAATAAATTTGTTTACTATATACTAACAGAAAGAATTATGAATGCATTAAATTACAGTGTTAATGAATGAGCAAAAATTATTTCAATATACTGTATTATTGTAAAAAAAAATTTGCTAAATTTATAATATTTTAAATCTAGTTACTTAAAAATATTAACTAAAAAAAAATTTTTATGTCATTGTCACTAGTATAATGTACATATATGTTTTTCTTAATAGGGTAAAAGCCAATAATAAAAAGTTCCCTTTAGACGTAGAGTATGATGGAATATGATAAAAGAATAAAAAAACATGTTATTATTTTTTTTAATAAGAAGGAATAAAATGGTTCATACCGATAATGACTGGTGGATTGAATAATGATTTAGCTCATCGATCACATGAATTCTTGAAATCCTTCTTTTAAAATCTAATTTTAAGAAGGAATAAAAAAAAATTAGTATATAAACTGATAGATAAGTTTCTTATTTATAGAACCATCATCATTAAATTCACTTAAAGTGGAATACCTAACTAAATTGTATGTACACAACTTCGAAATGATATGAATTCTTTAACAATGACTTTCGACTATCAACAGGAATATAGGATAAATTTCAACTTTGTTTTCAAAATGTCAAATAATGAATTAAGTATATATATTTTATTTCTACTAATAATTTATTGATAAATGGACAGAGCGCTTTATTTTTTATACCAATAACTATAAACATATTATGTAAAATATAGTCAAGATAGTACTTGCTGTCAATTAATCAATTTTCTTGTAAATAAATATGTTATTGAATGAGGGAGTAGCTATATCGGTCACAAGACCGAATGATTGGATGAAAATGGGCCACGTACAAAAGGCTGGGCTAATCTCATTAATAAACATAATAAACACACGTGTTTTTCCATTTGATTCTTCATAAATTTCGCTTACTTTACTAGGAAATTTCTAATTCTCATAATTCTATTCAAGTATATTGTTATCAATTATAAATAAATAATTTTTAAGAAAACATAATACAATTAATAAAATTAGATCTTATTATTCCAAAATTGGAATAATTTCATCCGTTTAAAAATAGAATAAAGTAACTTTTTTTATTTTTATCTTCTTTTATTTCGTACATTAATAAAAAATTATTCTGGAATTGATTGGTAATTTTTGTACAAATCTATTGTACTTCTTCTTAGAAGAAATATTTCAGTTTTATCAATATCAATCTGAATCAAAATCTTCTAATTAATATTAGTATAATATATCATT